CGTTGTAGCTGGCTGCAAACTATGAACTGGATTTCCTGAATGTGAGGCGGGTCTTATTACTCTGGGTTCATGAGACACGCCGCCGTTCAGGAAATCCATTACATAGTTTCAAGCCAACATGCATCATGGATCAGAAATCTCTGCAGGTTGGATCGGAAAATGGATCGGTCACATTGTCACCGATACCTGAGCCAGAAGTTTTTCCAGATATCGGTACCGATATTGATATAGGATCTGTGCAGCTCTACTTAAAATCCTTCAGTGAAGTAGTCGTCGTGCTGTGTTGTTTCCTGAAACCAGATTGATGGAGAGGTAAGATGTCAAATGTTTTCAGATAATTTTTGATTTGTGAGTTTATCAGTTTTTCTAGAACCTTGGCTAAAATACAGTTTAGAGATTGGTCGATAGTTGTTCAGTGAGGTGGAGTCACCTCCCTTCAGTAAAGGTAGAACAAAGGCTGTCTTCCAAGTGTCTGGAATGGAGTATTGTCTTATGGACAGGTTGAAGATGTGGGACACCAGTACTGTGATGATATGAGAGGCCAGCCTTAAGAAATAAGGTGGAAGTTCATCATTTTAAATAGCACCTTTTCATGGTGGATCAACCAGTTTGCTGCTGACAGACAGAACTAGTTGTTCACATGCAAAAGAAGGACAATTAGCCTAACAATAGATTGTTAGAGCCCTAACAATTGGTCGTTAGTGCCCTCATGGCAACTTGCTATTCACAGAGGGTTGAGTGAAGTATAACAGCACTGAAAGGGGGTGGAAGTTGAACATGGAGACCCCTGCCCCTATTTAAAGATGGACAAGTTCTCATCACAAGATGGCTTCCTCGACTCTTCTCAAACCATCGTTCCTATCCATCAAGGACGTGCACATCTTCATCCCTGAAAGAATGACCTCAAACCTGGAGATGAGTGTAAAGTTTAAACCGCAGAGTCCTGGCCTGATGATGTTGCTCTTCTGTGCTGGTCCATCCTTTTGGCCAATGGTTGTTTAGTTTCCCCGATGTAGAACTGATCAGACCTGCTGTTCAGTGCCAGGAGGGCAGTGATCAGTTATTTATAAGACTGAGTTGGTTTCAGTGTTTCAGACTGAAGAAGTCTTCTGGATAAAAGACGAAACGTTTCAACAAAGAATCCGTCCAGAGAACCTGAACTAACCTTCTTAGATTTTTCTACCTGGATTATTGAGCATGAATCAGGATAGCTTTGAGCATCTTGATTAGACAGAAAGGTGTTATACATTTACAGTCCAATTACTAGTTCTTCTTAACGCAACCTGGGCTCGAACCGCAGCCTCAGTACCGGTCCCACTGACCACCGAGCCACAGTGTCTGTAAACATTGTAACTGTAGAACAAGCAGTTACCAGAGAAGACCGATTTAAAACGGTCGACAGACTGATCGGTGCAGCTCAGGAGGTTGTCGTCTCTTTTAGAAAATATTGTGACATATCATCAACGAAACGAGAATAAAACAGCTGACTGTCCGATTCGGTCCAGTCCAACACCACCAGAACAGTTCGGTTTCTAAACTACACCAAGGAGAACTCAAAAAATGGCAAAAACTTCGTCTGAACTAGTTGACTTACTTGCATGAGTTCTTCTGATCTTGACAACCGTAGAGTCGCGCCAAGACCTGCTTACACAGGAAGTAACGACATTTTCCCGCGGTATGCCTCCGGTCTGGGAGTACTAGTATCTTCGTCTTAACCGGGCTAAGGAGGGTAAAAATCCCCAAAACAAGAGTTAAAATCCCAGAAGGTCCAACTGGACCAGCCCTCGCGGCTTCACCCTGCGTTTTGCATTCTCAGCCCCACATAAAGACGATGTAAGCGGCGAGCAAACGGCAGCAGAAGCGGCTCTTCTTCTTTTTCTTCTTCTTGTGTTATTGGCGGTTGACAAACAAGTGAAGGAAGCGTTACCGCCACCAACTGGGAAGGAGTGTGGACCACATGACCAAAAAAAAAAAAAAAAAAAACCTCTCTTTCCTTTTATATCCTATTATACAACCTACACCATTTTTCCCTTAAAATGATACATTCTCTCAGTTTAAACTTTTGATCTGTGATTTGTGTTCTATTCTGAATAAAATATTAGATGTTGGCATCTCCACATCATTGCATTCAGTTTTTATTCAGAATTTGTTTAGTGTCCCAACTTTTTTGGAATCCGGTTTGTATGTATATTTGTATCCGTGACTGTGAGTTTTGCAAAACTTCTCATAAGAATATTTTATTAGTGTTATTGTTAACCCCACCAAGAATACTTAAAAACACTGAACCATTTGTTCATCTTTAATGGCTGTACTAATAAGATTTACAGAGGAAAAAGTTGTGAGAATGAGTTTAGTATTCAGCTATGACTGATTAAACGCGCAGATACTTCATTGCTCCTGACAAACAGGTTACAGTGGAGCGGTCGACCGTTCCAAGATGGCGGCTTAGCGGTCAAAGCTGTATCTAGCTTTTATATATCTGTGGTTAAAGGCTTCTTTTTTATTTTTATTACAAAACTTTATCAATTTTACAAACAACTGACTGCCAGGGGTATATTAGTAGCTACAAAAGTGTAGAAAGAACAATTTGGTTATTACCAAAGGGTAAAAAATGCTAAAGATACAACACAATATATTTACATCTAAAAAAGTTAAATCTGGTCCTCTGGACATTCAAAAAAACAAAACAAAGCAAATCAACAAAAAAAATGTAGAAACGTTTCGTCTCTCATCCGAGAGACTTCCTCAGTCTGAGGTGCTGTATTCAGCTCAGTCTCTTAAATAGCACCTTCTCAGAGTGGATCAACCAGTTTGCTGCTGACAACCAAAACCAGCTGATCACATGCTCAAGAAGGACCATCAGCCTAAAAATGGATCATTAGCACACTGATGGCTGTTTACTATTCACAGGAGTCTGAGTGATACTAGCAATCACAGCATTGTAAGAGGGGGACAGTTGAACCCGGAGGCCTCCACCCCTGTTTAACGATGGACGATTTCTTTTCATGTAGATGGCCTCCTTTACTCCTCTCTCAAACCATCGTTCCTCTCTGTCCAGGATGTGCACATCTTCATCCCATAATATGGGGAGCAATATTATAGGCTGAAACATGGGTGTGCTATGGGGTCTCCAGTTTCTCCTATTGTTGCCAACCTGTACATGGAGGAGGTAGAAAAGAGAGCCTTGACGTCCTTTTCAGGGACACCACCAAGTCATTGGTTCAGGTATGTTGACGACACCTGGGTTAAAATCAAATCTCAGGAAGTCCAACATTTTACTGACCACATCAACTCTGTGGATAAATACATCAAGTTCACACGAGAAGATGTAAAAAATGGCAGGTTGGCTTTCTTGGACTGTGAGGTCTCAGTCTCTGATAGAGGACATTTGCAAACCGAGGTGTACCGCAAACCCACCCACACAGACCAGTATTTGCAGTTTGACTCCCATCACCCTTTGGAGCACAAGTTAGGAGTCATCAGGACTCTGTACCACAGAGCAGACAGCGTCCCCACTAGCTCAGGAGCCAGGCAGAAGGAGAAATCCCACACAAGACAGGCTCTAGAGCAATGTGGATATCCTAACTGGGCCTTCCTGAAAGCAGAGAAGAAACCCAAACAGGACTCCAGCCAGCCAACAGGTGAAAAGGAGGAACCCAGACCCAGACCAGTGGTCATTCCATATGTTGAGGGAGTATCAGAGAAACTGAGACGTTTATTTTCTAAACATAACGTCCCAGTGGCTTTTAAACCCCAAAATACATTACGGCAAAGACTGGTTCATCCCAAAGATCCAGTCCCCCGGCACAAACAGAGCAATGTTGTGTATGCTGTTCAGTGTCAGGAGGGCTGTGATCAGTATTACATCGGGGAAACTAAACAGCCACTGGCCAAAAGGATGGCCCAGCACAGAAGAGCAACATCATCAGGTCAGGACTCTGCTGTCTACACTCATCTCCAGGCCAGCGGTCACTCTTTCAGGGATGAAGATGTTCACATCCTTGATAGAGAGAAACGATGGTTTGAGAGGAGTAAAGGAGGCCATCTTTGTGAAAAGAAACCGTCCGTCATTAAACAGGGGTGGAGGCCTCCGGGTTCAATTGTCCCCCTCTTACAGTGCTGTTATTGCTAGTATCACTCAGACTCCTGTGAATAGTAAACAGCCATCAGTGTGCTAATGATCCATTGTTAG